TGAAGCTCCAAACCCCACATGAAACCCCAGTTCCCAGAAGGTGCTCCTGACTTTCAAACTTGCAAAGATTATCATATGTAGCTCAGACAGTCTATAAGTTTAGCCACCCCTGCCATAAAGTCTCTACCCAGCTGAATCCTTACCCCTCTATTCCTCCCCATTCCTCTCTCCAGTTCTCCTTTCAGCCCCAATTGTTTGTGGCCTCTACCCCAGATGGCGGAAGATGAGGTCAGCCTTCCTTCAGTGATCTGCTAGTCAGTGCAGCTTACAGAGAAGGGGACAGCTGCTGTGGTGTGTATTGCAGCAAAGAGACAGCTGCTATGCCAATGATGGGCAATAATTTTTGATGTGGGGGTCACGCCAAGAATTTGGAAAGCAGTAGAGGGCTGCACTCTTCCATGATATTCCATGAGGTCCAGGATGGAGGTTGGATGCAGAAGGGAGTTTGGGGTAGGGGAGGGAGTTTGGGTGAAGGAGGCAGTTGTGACCTGGGTCACTCGATTGGGGTGCAGGGAGCTGGATTGTGACCTAGGGCAGGGAATGGAAGTACAGGAAGGGGTGCAGGTTATTGCTAAATGAATACCATCCAAGCCTTTTCCTGTTTCATACATCAGGTGCCAATCAATATGACATGAAATAAAAGAATTCAAACTCCCCCCTCCCCCCAAACATGATAAAATATAATGAGAAAGGCCCTATGTAGACAAATGACCCTATGCCAGAAATTTCTGGTCACATTAATTGGAAAGGAGCCTGCATCTAAATTATGTATTGCCAAAAACAAACTGAAAAAATCATGTTAATACTTATGATGATTTTGTGGACTAAGTAAAAAGACAGTGGTTTGCTCTAAGGATGTAAAGTCAGAAATAAACTTTAAAAGCTCTGTTGTCCTCTAGAGAGCGAGCCTTCTAATAGTGACACGAAAAGATAATTACATTGGGATAGTAGGAATGTACAACGCTAAACTTATTTGAAATTACTGAGCAGAAAAAATGCCCATCTTAGGGTATGGTATTTTACCTGACAATAACAAATTGTTGAGGGCATTTCTTAGCTAGTATAATCTATAAGGAGGAGATAAAGTAATGATATGTCATGTCCAGAGAAGGCTGTAGCAAAAATAAGATTGTCTCTACACTGGGAAGGTTTGGTGACAAAAGAACTGTTGACGTGCAAAAGTCACCAAAAGTGAAAGTGGACAAAATCATTTTTTCTACCTCCCATTGTCAATTTCATAGCCATATTGCTAACTCCCCTGTCCACAGATAGAGGAAAAACATTGTGCCTAAGCACCCACAGTGCAGTGTTGTGGGAAGGGAGAGCTTGGTCCCTGCGCTGCTTGGGATTCGCGCATAGCTTTGCAAGATCTCTGAGCTAAGGAATATCAAAGTAGCACAGCAGTCTCAAGCCCCTCCGGCTGAGGCAGCGGAACAGAAGCATTGAAATGATTTGTTTTGTTCCCCAAATGGAGCAGCTCACTCTGCTGTCAGATACTTTCTGAGTCTTTGAAAGGGCAAGTGTCCGTGCCTGCAAGGCAGCAGAGATCACAAAACACTGAGCACAGCCACCAGGACAGATATTGTGGGATACTGGAAAAAGCCACTTCTCTTGACAAAACAAACAGCAGAGTCCACACTGGCTCTTTGTCGACAATAAAGGGAGGGGAAAACACCAAAGTCTCTCGCAAAATTGGGTGTTTTTCCCAACAATCATATTGTAGTGTAAACACACTCACTGTTTTGTTGCCAAAATGCAGGTTTTGGTGACAAAACATGCCAGTGTAGACAAGGCCCCAGATAGAGAGCGAGAAATGGAGAACTAGAGAGAGCAGCCAAAATCAAATAAGTTTTCTAGAAAGATGTTAGATCGAATGTCTTCCAATTCATGCTACAAGATGAAAAATTATATTGTTTGATTCTCTGTTTCATTGTGATTTTTCTCTGCATTCTCTGTATTCTCTGCATTCTTGGCTGTTTTTCCAATTTAATAATTTTTCTCAATAGATTAGAGAAAGTTCTAAACCCTTCATGAAACAAACCAATCTTAGCTTCTTCCATACCTGCAGTATTCAGTACAATAAAAAGATAGGGAGATGCATCACAAAATCAATCCAGTTTCTACAGGACTCTGAGGGTTGTCAGTTTAACATAGTTTGAAATTTGTTGTTTTTAATAGGCAACATGTTTAGCTTAACTTTCTTAAGGACAGAGCCAGTGTTCCTAATGCCAGGGATGAAAGCATTGAATGTTGCTACTTAGCATCATAAATCTTGATAATTTTCCAGAACCAATAGGCAGAATAGAGGTTTATATTATTTTTGCAAATTTGGAAAGTAACATGATTAACGTTCTATCTTGCTGTGAACCAGCAGTCACTATATGATCTACATTAGCTACTTTTGTTTGGCCCCTCTTAGGCTGAGTGTTTGTTTGCAGTTGTGAAGTGTAATATGGCATGAATTAATTACTGCTCTAGTTCAGGTATATTTGAGCTTTTTATGGCAAGGCTGTAGTCTTAAGAGTAGGGCTGTAGATAGTGTGTAATTGAATAGTTGTGTAACTGCATCAAATTTAACGGTTACACAACTCTTCAGTAGTCCCCGGAGGTGGATCCGGCAGTCACTATGCTCTTGGCCCACTCCTGGGCAGCTCCCTGTCACCTTGCACTGCTGCCTCTGTATCAGAGGCAGCAGTGCAGGGTGGCAGCAGCCCTTGTCCGTGGGCGTCCAGGCTCCCGCGGAAGGAGTCTGCTCCACAGCAGCAATCCCTATCAACACGGGGCTTGGAGCCCCATAGACAGGGACTGCTGCCACAGAGCAGCCTCTGTCTGCAGTGGGCCCAGGCTCACCGTGGACAGAGGCTGCTCTGTGAGATGCTAGAGCTTTTAAGCCAGCTCTCCACGGGTACCAGTTCCCACCTCCCTCACAGTTTGCTGCCTTTGATTCAGAGGCAGCAGAGTCGGGGGGGAGGGGTGGAAGGAAGGGGGCTGTAGTCGACAAAATTAGCTAGTTAATCGTGTAGTCATCTCCACATCGACATCTCTGCTTAAGAGTGAAAATTATTTACTTGGATTGCTATAAATGAAAGATGGTCATGTGACTTAGACAAATGTGTCTTGCTTTATAGGTATAATGTGGAATGTCATACGGTTGAATCTGCAAATGACATCGTCGTCCCATCTTTTGATGAATATAAGAAACACTGCATTTTTCAGGGTGATCTTTTGCTGTTCAGCTGTGCGGGATCCCATCCAAACCACAAACGAATCTGCCCCTGCAGAGACTATAATAAGGGACAGGTTGCACTTTGTAAAGATTGTCTATAGCAGCAGCAGCACCTTCCTTTGTTTGGGGACACACACAATGGTTTTGAGAGAGAACTACTTATACTTCCTGCACTTTTGTCCAGGGTCTTGCTGCAGGCTGAGAAAATGCTGCCAAGCAGAATACTTTGAGAGGAGGGATTCAGAACGAACATCTAAATGGTTTTTACTTTTTTTCTAAATGAACATATGCGGTGGAGCTCTTTGAAATCTTCCATCTGCTCAAGGAAAAGAGAAATTAAGTTCCATGCTTTGTAACAATTCGAAGATCATTGCGAAGAACAGTTTGTAGAAAATTCCCAGACACATCAAACGTTTTTTGTTGTTAGTGTGTGTGTGTGTGTGTGTGTGTGTGTGTGTGTGTGTGTGTGTGTGTGTGTGTGTGAATCAAGTGTTTTCTATTTTTGTTAACAGGTTAAAAACATCCCATCATCATCAGCTAAGAGTCTGAACATCATTCCAGTACAAAATGAGGTGGGTGGGGGAATGTGCTTATGAGTTGGGGGAGAGGACTACAATTATTACTGGGGCACTATTTTGAGTGCTGCAACAGCTTGAATGGCTACAAAATGGTGCATTACACAAGAACTTGGAACTATAAGATAACTCAAATAACAATACATAGCTGCGTGTTCGCAGTCCTTTTTAAAATACTCATATGCTACCAGGTATCGTCTGCATTATAGCTACTGTACCAGAGCACTCTAAACAGGCAGCTCTAGGAACGTGAGGATTGGTTGCTGCCAATTTGTAAGAATCCTGCTGTTTCTTGACAACTGATTGATTATGGTATGCTCTGGTGTGGAACAGCCATGGAAGCATACGGCCATTTAATAATGGACTTGTCTCAGTTTACTGGGTCTATTTAAGAGTGATCCTTGGAATCTTCCTGTGCTTCTGTTGTAGTCTGCCTATTTAAAGTACTGTGTGAAGCAAAAAGTATTCTGCATCATTTGAGCAATATTGTCGGATCCTCAGTTCACTGTACCTTACCGTAGTTAAAACATTACTGCAAGGTGGAGAAAGGATCTGCTAACTATAATTATTGTATCATAGGAATGTGAACTGTCTTGATAACTAGCTCTGCTTTTGAAGAGGAAGATATTTTAAAGAGCAATTATGAGAGAAGGAAAACTTCTTAAGAAGAATATTGTTGATAGCTTTTCTGGATTCTTTATCCTTTTTCTCTTTTAAGAGGCAGGCCGGTGATGTATTTAAAAACTACAATTTATTACCAAAAGTTTGAATTGGAATTCAGACTTGACTTGTTTAGAACGTGAACTAAATCTTTTTAAATAGTAACATGTATCTCTTTTTTTAAGAGTAAATTTCTACTTTTTTGCAGCACAAGCTAACATGTTTGAAAGCATTGTTCATGGCTGGGAAATGTTATGTTAAATTAGAGGGAAATGAATGGCGTAGTCTGCAGTAGGATATGAAAACTGCCATAGTTTGCAGGTTTAAAATTTGGGTATGTCTCAGACATAACTGAAAAAGCCTCAGTTGATTTTTTATTTTCCTTTTTGGAGATTTAACCAGTGCTATCCAGTCTCTCCAATTACAAAAATATAGGCACTTTAATATTTTTCCTCTAGAATATATCAGGTTTACTCATTCTTCTATACCCATTATTCATTATCTGTGTGAGTATTAAAGTCTCTCTTGACCTACCAAAGATCAAATAAGGGAAACATGACTGAAACTGTCAGACACATTATCACAAGGTGTTAACAGAGAAGTAGAAGTTCAGTTTCCAACTCAATATAATTAACTTGTTTATTTCAAGTGCATTTAAATCCCTAATTCCACACTCCTATTTTGTTACACAAGGTAAATAGTACTGCAGACTAGATAGAAATCGGTGTCTAAATGATTATTCAGTATCCAGAAAGTATATATGGCAGGTGCCTGTGCAGCATAGTAACTGGGATGTAATAATAATAAAGCTTCAGTAATTACAGTAATTCTGCAAAAATGGAACATAATTGGATAATAATATTAGGCATAGTTTTGTATGAAAAGAAATTGAATAGTTGAAGTATTCTAAGCATTCCCTCAGTCAGCATGGATGTTTTGGTTTTTTTAATATCCAGGGAACTCTAATACTTAGCCTTTTTCTTTTTCTTTTTTTTTAAGGATTGGAATCTGAGGTGCATCAACTGTTCATTGTAGGTGTTCTCCATATTTCTGTACATATGATAAGAGTGCAACCAGTAGAATCCCAGGCTTTCAAGAAACTCTGGGCACCAATTTGGGCTTATTTCTGGCATTAACTTATTGGTGACAACAGAATCTACCTTTTAGTGATATAGTCTGAGTTTCTGTAGTCAGAAACTTAAGTTAGCTGGAACATCACATCAGTACATTGGCAATAAAGACTTTGTGCGTGTGTGCTTAAACAATCCAAAGCACCATTGCCTATTGTAATATAACTATTAGAAAATATTTGCTGTTTTTGTATAAAAAGGCACTAAGCTGTAAATACACATTTGCTTGTTGCTTATCCATTGTATGGCACACATGGCATAATACAATTTGTTTTGCCTCTAAAAAGTGAAGATAAAGGATTTCTGCTAGTTTGTTGATACTGCTATCTCTGCTGCACTGTATTGTTCAATAATACAGTGCTGCCAGTGCTGACTTTACCACAGCAGGGGGAGTTATGATCTCTATAGTATGTATGTTTATTTCTAAGCTACTGTATTGAGTTACTGTGTATTAGAGGAAGAGAGAAAGGGAGAAAATGGATAAGCTCCGTTCAATAGCAGAATTCAATGGGAATTTTTTTAGGGGGGAGGGAGGTAATAATCAGTTGGACTACATCATGCTCTCAGAGAATTTTGGGAATTTTGCTGTTCCCTTTAAAAGTCCAGTCCAATAGAAGACATTTTCCAAGGGCTTTATTTTATTGTTGTTGCATCTAAACTGTGGAGCTGCCGAGTTCCCTTTTCAAGAGGAAAAGTGTTCTTTACAATGTACAGCTTCTGTTTTATTTTTTGAAAGAGAAAAGCATGTCAGATCATGGGGAAGAACTTTTCTTATATTCTGCATATGGATATTCTTTGTTTTCAAATCCTGCTTTGCTTGCCTTTTCTTGGATGGAAAAAACCTGAAGTTGCTATCAACGTTTAAATTGAGTGATTTACTAAATCTGATACTTCATTTTGTTTTTTCTATGATGATGTTCTTTACATTTATAAGCAAGTGGGTTCTTCTTGTACAACTGAACACTCCATTCTGCAAGTAAGCACAGGGGATTATTTTCGATGTTATGAATCGTTCACTAGAATTATTGAACTAAATTGTTCCCTATTTATTTCTAAAATGTGGACACGATCTTCTGTGTCAGGAACTCCATAATTAACAAAGTCTTTACTCCAGGCCTGGCCTTTGGGCAAAGCGAGCGAGGCGGTTGCCTAGGGCCTCGTGGCTTCGCACATTCAGGGCCTTGCACTGCCCAGCTCAGCTACCCTCCCCGCCCCACCCACCTGGCTGGGAGCCGCGAGGCTGTGCAGCTCAGCATGCTGCCTTGGGCCCTACACGCTCTTTGGCCGAGCCTGCTTTACCCTCTTACTTAAATGTATAGTCCACAAACTGCACTTGGATGATGACTTTGTAAAAGAATGATTATAAAATGGTATTGTATTAATGTATGTATTTTATTTTGTTCTCACTGAAACTCGCAGCATCCTTATTCAGACTTCAGGTTTTGGCAAGAATGAATTTTGGATACACTGGCCTGTAATTGATGGAAATCAGGTGTGTCAAATCTGAAGTATAACAATTATAAGCTCCTAAACATATCCGTCATAAATCAATTTTTTTTGTTTTAAACTTTTGTATTTTTATATGTGACCTGATTTTTTGAAAATCTTATTCCTATGAGATTAGAAAACTTGAGAAAATAATTTACATAATTTATTAAAGTTAACGTAAAAGGCTTGCCTTTGAAAAGTAAAGTTGGTAAATACACACTGTTTAAAAATGCCAATAAAAACCTCATTTATTTCATATATGCAATTTGATTTGCACATGTGTAACTAGATAAGCTTTTTGCATATTTGGCTACGTTTTCTTTATGGTTGTGTCTCTTTGTTTTTCTTTTTGTAATTTATTAGTTATAATTATGTATTTTTCTTAATGTCAGATTAAGTTACTTCTGCAAATATTTAATGTTCACGTGCCTTTTTTATTTTGGGGAGGATTTTAGAATGTGAGCACTGTCTGAACAAGTATAATGGAACACTGATTTTAGGGTTTAAGAAAAGGGCCTTACTTTTTCATGGGTATCTTTTGCTTTTCATGGGTATTTACATGCAGTTAGTCCATAATTGAAAGGATACTTAGCACCTGACAGTCTTTTGGAAAATTAAAAATGTAGAAAAAAGATTTTGAATAACTTATGATCAAATTTCAGTGAGAAAGTAGCATGATCTAATAGACTGATGTTGGAAATAGGGACCAGAAACTCGTAGTCTCCATTTGCAGCTCCATCACTGACCTTTGTATCATTATGTGGATCATTTATTACCTGATTTTTTTTTTCAGGGGACTTAGCCCTCACACTTCCATTGACTTCAAATGGAAAATTTGGGTAATTTGTTTACCTTTATACATTAAAGCTGCTCATATCTATCATGCTTGTGTACCTCAGCATAGTGAAGAGAGGATATTAGCTTGTACTCCACGTTGAAAATGCACATTACAGTGCTGCATAACTGCTAGTGTTTCATGGCTGGCTTCCCCAAGTTATATAAATGATTTAAAAGCTTACAGTTGTGTTTTTAATGTTTACAAGCCCAAACTGCCTTCTCAGTTATATTGCCTCTCAGTGTGATTAGGGCCCAATTTGGTTCCCATCAAAATACTTCCTTTAATGAAGAGGTGTCACAGTTTGATTAAAGGGTCTTATTCTAATGGGATAAGTTACTTTTAAGTTATTTTATCAATGATAGCTCTCTCCTGTATCTGTCAGTAATGAATGGCTCTGAATAGTTCATTTCTGTGATGTATCTTACTGCTTTGACATCTTATTTATTTTACAATGTATATAATTTAATATTTTAAATAGGTTGAAGTTTCATCTAAATATCCATTAAGGGGGGCGGTTCAGTTTATAAATAAAAACAGATTCCTAATTATGCCAGTCTTTAGTGGGGAATGAGTGATGAGTCATTGCTGTAGCTCTGATTTTATTTAGATGTACTAGGTTTGTTGTCATGGCCAGGGCTTTGTGATGCCAACCCCTCTTCGCTTGTGGCTCTTGATTAGTAGAGCTTCATCCACTTCTAGTACTCCTTTGTCCCATTATCTTTGGGGCAGAACCAATCAATGGCATCTGTCTGCTTGGAATATGTACAGGGAGGGCTCAGGAAACTTATATAAATATATTGTTGTTGCTGTAAATCCAACATTGCAAAATATTGCTCTTAAATGTTTAAACAAATCTTTTGCTTCATATTTTAAACGGCTTTATAGCAAAATGTTTTCAATTTGAATATAGCAATATCTAATAGAACAAGAATGTATAAGCAAGATCAGCAAACTGGTTACTGAGCATGAATGTAGGCAATGTGTTGCAAATCAAATGGCTGAAGCTAGGATGTCTTCTTGCATTAAGTTATCAGTCCTATGCTTGTGCACAAAGGTAAATGTCTTAACACAGTTCAGTCGCCACAAATCTCTTATTTATGGCTCTACATGGCTTACTTTTAATTTAAAGTCCTTTAATGCTAATACAGCAATAGTATTTTGAGTCAGCACACCCACTCCAACCGTTCAAGAAAGCAACATTAATTAAATGAATGTGACATTGTCAAATAGCTAAAAATACAGTATTTGCTCTGCTTGACGCTATAATAAAAATAGGAATAACCTTAACATTCCAAATAGAAAAACAGCTTTAAAAATTCACTTGCTGTAAAATCTGTAATGGCCTTCCCTCTGCTGTCTGCAAGGAGAAATTAATACTAGGCATGGTCTAGATTGACACTGTGTGTTCAACAGCATTAAACTGTCCTCTAGAAATGAGGAAAGCTACTTGTGTACTAGTTCCTTAGGCTTGTAGAGTGCATGCTGCAACATCGCAATATTGTGCACCCAGTCTCCTTCTGACTGAAGTTAATGGCAGTGTGTCCATTGAGTTCTGTGAGAGGGAGAGGTTAGCATGACACTGGAGGAGTTAGCTCTCGGGGGTCACTGTTAGAAATCACCATGCCAAATCCACTCCAATCCTCCCCTGGCATTGCATCAAGAGTTCAGTCTTCCAAGATACTGGACATTCTGGCTTTGATCCAACAAATCATGGCCTTAGTCTTAAGCATGTGAATATCTTCATTGAGTTGATTGGGCCTACCCATTTGCTGAAAGCTTAAGACATTAAATGCTAGATCAAGATAGAGAGAGCAGCACCCAAGATCAAGCCTTATAAGAGCACAAAAAGCATAGGCTCAAATTCATCCCTGCTGCCACTTCATTAGCTTCTAGTAGGCTTATACAAGGAATTAATTTGCTGCATTCCTTAACAAACTTTTTGCTGTAAGGATTGATTCTGGAGACCATAAAAGAAAGTAACCACCTTAGTTTGCTCTCCCTAAGAAAAAGAGCAAGGAACAAGGAAATGCAGTAAGAACAAATGGATAGCCCCAATCTATGTAAAAATGGCAAAGGGCATTAATAGGATCAGAAATGTTACCTGGAAGATTCAAAAGCTAATCAAGAAAATGGGGAGGGGGGGATATATAAAGTATAATAACGTATTTTGAGTTTTTAAGGTCCTAATTCTGCTCTTTGTTCAAGGAAAATTTTGAAGTCAGTGCAGGGTTTGAATATGTACAAGAACGTCAGGGTTAGTCTTTTAAGTTGTTTTTTTTTTTTCCCGGGGGGAGGGGGAGGTGTTAACTTTCTCTTGACGTTTAAGTTCTTTGCTTTTCTAAATGACTGTGTTCCACTATATCAGGTTCAAACAGTTTGATTCACATAGTACAAGTTGCAATGGCTGGTAACATATTATCTAATTATTGAAATTCGTTAGGATGGGATTCTTTAAAAATATGTATATGTCTGAATGTGTATTTCAATGGCATAGAACTATGCTTTGTTTTTGCTGTTGTAGAGAGAACTAGGGAGAACTTTATTTTTCAATAAACTTTTTCTTGTGTGATTTGGATTTGTTGTTGTATATGTGCTTAAATGGGAATTCCACCAACTGCACAGCAGTATGATTTGCATTGCAACGATTAGAGGTGTGTCTGTTTCTGTCATGAAGCCCTCTATTCAGAGGTGTTTAAGCAGCAGCAAATAATTCTATCTAAATGGATCATGGCTGATAACATCTAGGGAGCTAATTCTTTACATGAAGTATTTGTTGTTTGGTGGGGGGGTATGAAATCTGGGTGTTTTTAATTCATGTAAAACAAACTAAAATACATATTGGGAAGATGAGTTTTCATTTGAAGACAGCACATTAGCGGCTCAATATCCTTGTTTCTTGAAGGATTTCTATTACACATGGCATGGAGTTGCTGTGGCTTTAAGAGACTAGTATGGCAGGTAGCACTGCTCTCCAGCCAAAATGCTTCTGAAATAAATGTATTCAAACTTTACTAATTCTGGGTCACTGAGAACGAAAATGATACTTAAAATTGTTGATTGGCTCTAGTTTTCAAGATATGCTATTGGGTCAGTATATACGACCCTTGGCTTGCGAATGACGGAGGATAAGTGAGTTATAAAGGGAAAGGATCTCAATTTAAACCATGACTGGATCTCTATGAATAAATCTGACAGGGTTTGGATAGTACTTGCTTTTTAGGGAACACAATGAATGATGCAATCTGAAGCTGGTATTGCATCATACATGATATGAATTGCATCATGTTATTCCTAGAAATCATGGATGTTTTGCTGCATAATGGCAATGTTTCCCCATCAATTCCAGGTGGTCATGCAGTCCATATGAAGGAAACCTATGACAACATGAAACAACTTTTGAGGTGCATAAACTATGACCAACATCAATGGCAGCTTTGCGGTGATTTGAAGGTAGTTGCTCTCTTGCTTGGTCTGCAGACTGGATACACAAAGTACTGCTGTTTTCTCTGCAAATGGGATAGTCGTGCAAGAGATTCCCACTACATCAAGATAGATTGGCCACTCAGACAGTCATTGGAGCCTGGGAGGAAAAGTGTTCAGCATCCACCACTTGTTGAATCAAGGAAGATTTTGTTACCCCCGTTACACATCAAGCTGGGTCTGATGAAGAACTTTGTCAAGGCCATGGACAAAACACAAGCAGCTTTCGAGCACCTCCGTGGAAAATTTCCAAGGGGAAGTGAAGCTAAGATAAAGGAAGGTGTCTTTGTTGGTCCTCAGATTCGTGAACTTCTTCGAGATGATGCATTTGACCATGCACTGCGTGGCAAGGAAAAGACGGCATGGAAAGCCTTCCAGTTAGTGGCAATAAATTTTCTCGGAAACAACAAGGCAGACAACTACAGGTTGTTGGTAGAAAACCTCCTAAAGGCATACAAAAGCTTTGGTTGCGACATGTCACTAAAGATACATTTTTTGCACTCTCATCTAGATTTTTTTTCCACCGAACTGCAGAGCAGTGAGCGACGAGCACGGCGAGCGATTTCACCAGGACATTGCAACAATGGAGAAATGCTATTAGGGCAAATGGAGCCCATCAATGCTTGCAGACTGTTGCTGGACAGTGACAAGAGATGCTCCATTTAATGAATACAAGAGACAAGCCAAGAAGCATTGAGTAGACACTGAATAGGACTAAACTATGTACATAATAGTTTTTTGCCTTTTGTTTCATAATAAATTTTATTTATATAACCCTTTTGCTGATTTTTAAAGTGTTACATAAACAGGACAGGTGAAATATTATCATGTAAAGCAACCATAAACACATGAAAAGACCTAGGTTTACAATTTATGATTAAAACTCTACTATCTACACAATATACATAGACGTAAAATGTAAAAACTTAAATATCTTGGAAACAGTAGCCAATCAGTTGTTTTAATTGTCATATTTGAATTCAGCACATCAAAATACATAATAAATAGCACATTTTATCTCTGAAGCAGGCGACTTCTAAAAAATTTGTAGACCAGTGTAGTCGGAAGAAGAGCTATGATATCTTGAGTCAAATGCCTCCTTACTTTAAGGAGACTTCTGTGTGTTTACATTTTGATCTATAAAGAGTTTGTGAAGATTCTACAAATTGCTTTTGCAACATCCTCCTGCCAACCCATGGAACAAGTGACCAAGTTTGAAACTTCAGGTTACTTCCTCAGCTGGTTTAAACTAGCAAATCTCGATTTGATGTCATTTGGAGCTATATCAGTCTATAATTTCCTGCATCATATCAGATATAGATATAGATATATAAGACACCACCAGTAGGCTGATATGTATGTTTAAAGAGATCTGGAGTGGCTAATATGGATTCTTCAAGTGATGGTCTCTTGATGTATTCAAAATGCAGGTGCGCATGTGAACCCATGCACTGGAGCAGGAAGCTTTTAACAATATTGTTCATTGATCCACGTGGTCATCTTCTGTTGCTATGTGCTCCAGGTGAGGTTATCAGAGGCCATGTGGGCTGTGCCCTCAGTTTCTTCTTACTGCATGGTCATAGTCTGAATAATCTCTTCATGCACTCATAGTTTTTACGAAAATGACTGTCCATTTGTGTATAGTTACTTCTGCTTCTTTCATTTTAGTCCTCCTGTAAATAGAGTAGTTATTTAGTGAAGCCCTATACATGGCTTCCCTGAAACAACTTGGGGAATTATGCCCTGCATTCCAGGGTTTAAAAACTACACCTCATCCCCTCGTTTGTTCTCCATGAATATCACGCACGTTCGTTATCTGTGCTGCCTGGGCCAGCTGTGATATCTGCAAGTCTCCAACAAGGACCCACAAAACCCATCTTCTCTGTCTCCGCAAGGCCTCACATGGAGTCTGATCCTGGGTCGTAAGGACCGACGGTGTGTTTTTCTTTTCCAGCTGTGAGCACTTCACCTCTGGCCTCCCACCCAGGACAATCAGTGATGCTGAGCTGTGAGAAGGCAAACAAGGAGTTCTGCAAGTGCTCCAAGAACAGGTTCCTGTCACGGACTGCTGGGATACACTACATTTCCTTCCTAAGCCTGGACAAGAGAGATGTCATTCAACAACTCTGCTGTGCCACTCTCTAAAACAGAGGGCAAAGTAAGAGAAGAAACATTCACCAGCACTACTAGTCCCACTGATGCCAGTGGATTAAGATAATTCTTTGGCTTGCACTTTTCAGCCATCACAAGATTCTTCAGGTGCTTTTCCGCGTATCCCTTCTCAATTTGGCAAACCATAGGATGTTCTGTGGATACCAGGACAAATGGAACTGCTGATTTCCTCCACCCACCTAGGATTGCTGTATCATCCTGTGCTGCTTCTCTCAGCTACAGGATCTCCTACACCAGTAGATGCACTGCTTCTGTTCACTTGAGATTAGCCCCATCGGTAGTAGTACCACCTGTGCCAACAATTCTGCTATTTCTGGAGGCTTCTTCAGACTCGGCACTTTTCAGCAGAAAAGCGATCCAGTGTAGCTCAGACTCTGGGGTGTGCTCACCTCACCAGATGCACTATGCTCTAGTCCCAGCAGGTTGGTATCTCTATTTCTGGGATCCAAAGTACCAACAAGACCCTTCTCATAGCATCATTGACCCGCAAGGGGCTTTCATCATAGGCTATACCCGTCAATGGCCTAACACAATCCCACCCAGTCCCTCCACTGGGTCTCATTGACTTGGACCTGCAAGAGGACCCAGAGCATGATCGGCCCCACAGGTCCTGACAGCAGCCCCTTTTCTCCAAATGAGGCCCTGATTTCTCCACTCCTCTTACCTGACCACCAGTACCAGGAGTTGCAGCAAGGGTGGCTCTCGACCTAGGCGTTCCCCTGGAGGAAATCCAGGACTAACTTTACCAATTGCTGGATATATTCACCTGTTGGGTACAGGTGTGTGTAGCTCTGCCTATTGAGGCCATCATGAAACCCGCACAAATAGCATGGTACATGACAGCATCTTGTGCGCTTACACCCAAGAGGGCAGAATGCAGGTATTTGGTGCCAGCTAAATGGACTGACTTTTTTTCCCTGTTACTCCCATCCCCTGATTTCCTGGTGCATGTGGCCATAGAAACAGGCTTGCATTCGTCTGCTTCAGTTCCTCTGGTTAAGGCAGCAAAGCATCTGGATCCCATGGACTGCAAACTGTACTCCTCTGCAACCCTGAAATTCCGCATCTCTAATGACCAGTCTCTGCCAAAGGAGTATAATTTTAATAATTAATTATGCAGATAGGGACCATCACTCCAAGAAGAAGAGGGAAGTTACTTACCTGTAACTGGAGGTTCTTCAAGATATGTGGTCCCTATTTGTGTTCCACTACTTGTCCACCATCCCCACTGCTGTGAACTACTTATTCAGTGGTAAGAGGCTGACTGAGGACTTGTCTCACACGCAGCCTCTTATAACCTCGCCTGGAGCATGTGGCAACCTAAGACACCCATGAATATCAATGGATACTGCTGCTGAAAACTTCCAACTCTGGTGCACAGTACATAAGCACACCTGTGTTTGGCATACAAAAAGGGAATGCACATCAGTTCAGAATTTATTTACAAATTTGATCTTCAATCTGAGATTGAATAAAGATATTAACTGGTTGACACGCTACAGAGCCAATTTCCCCTACCTTTGACATTCACATTTTCACATGAAAAGCTATGTATGGGACACATCCAGTCTACTTAATTAGCTTTATTAACATGGGTCCTACCATTGACAATAACTGCTTTTGCTATTTTTCTATACCTTGGAGTCTGTTGTTTTCACTCCAACTGATGAAGTGGGTTTTACCCACAAAAGTTCATGATTCTATATATTCGTAATGTCCCTAAGGTGCCAAAGAACTACTTGTTGTTTTTCAAGTTACAGACTAACACAGCTACCCCTGAGATTTTTTTTACCTAAATAAGTAATATGTTGTATTTAAAAAGCAAATGTAAAACATGAGGAGGAATTGCATGATGCCTGCAAGTTGTCACCTTACCTTCCATCTGGCTTCAGAATGCTGTATGTTTTATCCATTAGTTATATTAAATAATTTGGTTTGTCATTGGTACATGAACACATGTGCTGCAAATTTCTGGCCCTGCTTTTCAGAGGCCTTTTCTTCCGTGCCACAGAAATGTTTCTATTTCAGGGAAGTGTAAAGCATGTGTATATGCATGCGTAGTTATCCACTAGCTTGATCTCCTTTCCATGGATCCCATCATTCTGGATTAAAACAGGTGCAAAACTAATCTCTGACCTTGTTGCCCATCAACATATCTTAGTTCCAAAGCCCTAAAATGTTTGCTATCATCAAATTAAATTAACAGTGTGGGGGCAATTGAGCCTTATTTTGCGTACTTGGAAACTAGCCATGAAAAGTAGGTCAAGTTGTTTCCAATAATGAATGTTACAAGTAGGTGCAATAGAGCAAGTCAGAGAAATTGAGCTAGTTCAAGCAAAAATGTCTACTTGATAAAGCTTTAGGGCTGTGCCGGGGTTAGATTTTATAAATAAGAAAATATAGCAACCAAGGTTGGCCTTACAGAAGTTAGTTTACTTGGTGAACGAAATGAGGAAAAGACAAACTATGCTGCTTGCTTCCCACCCCAACATCCTGTTTGGGGATTTTCAAAAGGAGACTTCAAAAAAATTCTCATCTCACCTTTCCTGACCCCAATACAGAAGGAGCAGACAAAACTGAAGAGTTAGCTTTTCCTAGGAAAGAAATCAGGCCATGCTCTTGTTTAAGGAACTTTGTTCCTCACCTATGTGTCCTGAAAGTAGTCATGGCATTCAGTCCTCAAATCATTGGTGCGGATTCCTGATGTCTGGGCTCCAGAGGCTCCAGGCAAATGCATGTAAGATCCTGTTCTGCATTCCCCTTCTTTCTTACCATCTTACTCTCTCAGCTATTCATTGGATCCTGTAATCACTGTACTGCTTGCATCAGCACAGCAAGATGAGGGGTCATCCAGCCCTGCCCTGTTACAGAATCCAGAACAACTGGTGATATGGCTGATCTGCCAACCTGAAGCTTCCATTGGTGACTGGCCAAGTGCCCAGTGTTCCTCGGACATCAGCAAAAACTGTATTTCCCTCTATTTTTCTATCTTGTCTCTCTTCTTGTCTGTGATTTAAAAACAGAGAAAGTGAATGCCCTTCACACATTAGCACTGGGAGTAAAATTAACTCTCTTCACCAAAGAAGGGTTGTTAGTAAAATAAGAGACTGATATTTTACCTCCAAAAGGAGAGAGTCTTTAACATGTTTGGGTTATGTGTAATTACTCATTTTTAGCTATTTTTTATTTATAATTCTTTATTGTGTTTTAATACACTTCCAACTTTAGAATGGGAGTTTGCCAAAAAACCAAGCAAACCAGAAAAATTCTGAACCTTTGTAATATTGTTCCAGTACTGGATAGTGAAAGAGTTTTGTAAAACCGTAAGCTCCTTGGGCCCTTGAGATCAATGCAACAGTGTACACTGCTCATCCCTTGATTTGGCAAGACTGAGGAATGTTTTTAACCCTTTCATATTTCATCCCCTAAATGTTGTCCAGCTTTTGATATAGGAAGGCTTTCGTGAAATGGTGGGTTTTCCAATAGGATATGATTTCAGATAGGCAGAAGTGCAACCACATAAGAAAAGATGTATGGGAGGTGGAACCTGGAGTAGAAATACACATCTTGTTGCTGTACTGAAAATAATAGAAGGGGTAGGGTCCATTCCATTTCACACCAGTGGTTTCACCAACAGGTTTGATTTCAGTAAGATCTCATCTAGCCAGAAGTAGGTACCTCCACCAAGACCTTCCTGCATGTAGCTTGCAAAAACCTTACCCTGAGCTTCTGACAGGGTCATCATCTCTGTGGGTCAGGACTGAAGAGGTGACGCTAATCCCCATCCACTCTCCATTGCAACTCAGTTCAGTCATCCAAATGCATTAGACTTCTAAGCCCATTATTTGAGATGCTCATGCTTATGTAGAATTCCTGAACTTACTAATTTGGATAAACTTTTAAGTTTTACATTAAAATCTTTGCGGGTGCGATCAATATACTACTGAATGTCAAGTGTTAATTGCACTGGTTTAAACTGGCACAGCGCAGTAAATGGATACTATAGAGGCCCTCATACATATAGGCATGAACTATATTTGTCCTAGAGGCTCCAGTTCTGCTGAGCAGCGTGCTCTCTTTGTGCTGTGGAAAATCAGGGACTTGCTGACTAACAAATACTGACTCGAGACGGTTGCTGCAACAGGTAAAATGTATTACACTGCTGACACCATATTCTGAAGAAGTAAGAGTTTGCAGGACCCAGACGACACCATCTCCAACATCAGGTGAGACTTTCTCTCCCTCCATACTCCCAATGGTTCCTCCTTGCTTGTCTTATTCATTTTCCTATCCCTCTCCTTTCTTCTTCTGTGTAATGAGCGACTGGCTTTGCCAGCCAAGATAGCATATTTTGCAGCAATGCTGTAAGCCTTGAGGCAGCTAAATGCTATGCCTTGAGTGGCCCAATGCTGACACAAGTTTACTAGGATGCAGACTATCTGATAAGACCATGTACCATGCCTGCATTTTTCCAGCAGTGCTGTTGCAAGTGAAAGTCCGCACCAGAGACAGAAACTGTGTTTTCTATCTTTGTGGTTCTTTGCTTGCCCATTATTTTATCCCGGCTGCCTTTTAGGAAACAGGATTGCACTTTAACAATAAAAGCAACAATGACAGCTCCAGCGCACCTCTACTAACTTCTCCTTTCCCCAAAAGGACAGCTTTTAGCATCTCTCAGTCTCTACGATGGTGTATCTGACAGGGGATTTGGAAAGGGAAAGCCTTGTTTCATACTTTACCTTTTACATTTTTTATTTTTTTTCTTGTCTTGTCATGATTCATATTTTTAAAAGTGTTTTCATTGTACTGAACAGGTTGGTTCTCTGTGTCAGACCATGAACCTTGTTTAAAATGGTCTGATGTTAGTAACTGTTATGTTGACATGTTTGATTCCTAGGGTCCTCTATTCCATCTAAATTAATACGAGGGCGGGTATTGCACAACCACTGCCTAGTATGGAGAATCAGTATCATGCCCAGAGTATCCATTATTAAGGTATATTTGCAGTCTGCAGTATGGCAGAGTTTGCTTGTGGCCAATCTGTGCTTGCCATTGGCTATAGCTAGGATCTGAGCCCCTTTTTTGTATGAACACTGATATTTCTCTCTGATACTCTTGTATGCATGCACTTTCCCTAGGATCGCCTTGAACAAGGGCCATTTTCTGTTGGAAAATTGCTCCAGCAGCTATGATCAGTAAATCATATTGTTAAAAGGGTGGGGATGGTCAGGCTGCACAGCAAATGTTCGTCCTATACTTTACCTGCTGCTTACTTTAACAATTGTGCTCTTGTCACCCTGTGAAAAGTGTTGTATGTACTGCTGAAAGGGATGCAATGATCTTTAGTATTATCCAGTGGCATTATGGATATTACAACTACTACTTAGCACTGAAAAAAACTTTGTCTACAAAGCACTGTACAAACTTTAGCTAGCCCAAATTAAATACAAAAGCCTTAGATGCTAGAGAATGAAAATCCAGTTCATGGAGGAAAAAGGTAATGGAGCTGATGATTGCTGGAAGTGGGCAGTTGCAGGAGGCTGAGAAATGCTGGCACCGCCTCTGTAGAGATGGCCCTATTCTGAGGGTGAAGAGGCCACAGCCCACCATCCATAAAGGAAGAATACAGAAGAAACCAAGTGGAACCTTAAAGCTTGACAGTGCTTAGAATGATGGTGCATTGAGACCACAGCCTATCGTGCTGACCAATTCTGTCTCATTGTTTCCTTGTACTCCCCCACCCATCTGCCTTCCCGTTTATCCATCTGTTGTCTCTCAGACTGTAAACTTCTTGAGATAGGGACCATCTTTTTGTTCTGTTTATACAGCTCTTAGCACCAGAGAGTCCAGATTCGTGGCTTGGGTGCCTCAGCACTATGGAAATACAGATCATAACCTTGTAGAGTATTTTTCAGCTTTACCAGGGCATGGAATGATCACAGAGTGGAACCATCAGCTGTCTGTTTTTATTTGACTAAAGACATCAGAATTTGGCCAACAGTTTGTAAGTGCTTTGACTGGGAATAAAAGGTCTATCAATATAAAGCATCAAAAAGCCATCTGTTATCAATTCCTTTACAATTTGATTGTAGGTCGGCTGTCATATGTTCTCAACCCAAATGAATGTGGATCCCCTCTTCTTAATGTATTATTTCACTTCCATGATATCATAGCTGCTTTTTTCACCCAGCAGAGGACAAATGAAATGCCTAACACTCACTCAGTTCTCCACATTGTGAAGCCAACCCAAAACATATGAAGTGGAGGAAATTGCAATGACGAGAGAATCTAGTTTAATGGACTGCTGTACAGGAAGACTTGGTTCTACGATACATTCTGGCAACAGCTGTCAAATATTTCTTACAGGTACTGTATAAAATAGATAACAGTTTTATTGTATACTTCCTGATTCTTGGATATTGTAAGTAGTATATTAAGAAATACATAGAAATGTGTGGTGAAGGGTGAACGTTTTTTTTTAACAGAATAATCTAAATCTAATACATAGCTCTGTGTTTCACCACAGTTCAAAGCTGTCACTGCTGTACCTTCATCAGGCTAGAGAGAAACCACATAGTCACAAATACTGTGTATGGTACAATAAAAGAGTGAAAATCGCATTTCTCATACTGGTCCTTCTTACACTTCATTTTGGCTTTTGTCTTTACAGTAATACTTTTTGTGCTTGTTTGGTCCATGCAAAGCAATGTCCTGTGTGCATCACTGGTTAAATAAAAACAAAATTCAAATTAAGAGGATTTACAGTTTAGATAATTTAGGATTAATAAAATTATATGAAATGAACCTCTGAGCATATAAATGAGTGGGTCTTGTGCTGTTTTTTCTTCTTGTGCTGGTCCATCCTCTTGAGACAAAAAATCTTGTTTACTTCAGTGCTTTAAGTGACTGTTGTTAGCATCCATAATCTACGTACCATACTTTGATGAATTGTGAGCTGAAGAAGTTGACAATGGCCATAATTCAACGTTACAGCACAAATTTGGAAAAAAATTTGAGCCAACATTAAAAGAGACTTTGAAATTGGTACCTCTTATCGGCAGACGTCTATTATATCAATAAAAACAATTTCACTCTAGAACACAGAACATTGCTGCTGGTTTGGAATTGCAAATTATGTATGTTTTCTACTGTCACTTAACAGGATTCAATAGCTTACTTGAAAGGAAAATGCCACTGTTTGCTGCGTTTGTAAGCAGTGCACATATTTGCCTCTTATACAGAGATTTCCCATTTAAAATAAACATTAAAAGAAATATACCATGGGAAATAAACTGCATATCCAGTGAAATATCAGTGGCACCACTTGCCAAAACAGATGATGTTGCAGATTCCCAGTCCATACAGAGAACAGGAGATAGATCTTCATTCAAACATTTCATAATGACGTGTTTGCCTTACACGTGGGACCATATCAATAAGTAACCTGCAAATGAAAGCACACATCAGTTGAGGTTGAACTGTAAGGGAAAGAACAGAGGGCAGTTGTTAGATGCACTCAAGAAATAACAGGTTTATCTTCTCTTCACTGCTGATGAGACCCAGAACCAGCTCTTCTAAACCTATAAGACGTTGCGGGGGGGGGACAATGGGTAAGGAGTGGGGTCTACCCACAAATTTGAAATACCAGATGCACTGCTCTACTTTAGAAGATTTAAATACAAGGGGCTAGATTATGATTTAAAGCCACAGCCCAATGGAGTGGAGAGGGGGCAGGGTGGTGCTGCAATGAGTCCCCTGGGAGAATTCTGGCTTAATCAGGTTTGGCTCTGCCAGCTAGGGAGAGGATGTAACCCTCTGCTGATACTAGGATGGCTTTGAAAAAGATTGTTATGGTGGAGATGAGTGACAGAGGCTGCACCCTTAGTGGAGTCTGCTCAGTGGCCAGAACTCACTCTGAGGTTTATCCCTTAGTGACTTGAATGCTCCAGAAAGACATCAGTACTTATTAGCACTTCCCCCAGAAAGTGAGGATAGCTGAGACCTGGCAAGGCAGTGCAGGCGAGCTGTACCTGATGGAATCTACTGACTGGCCACGGCAGATCCTGGTCATCCAAAGGCATGTGATGATGGTGGTAAGTAATACAGGGATTAAACTTGAAAAAGTTTGGATTCGGTTTGTGATGTTTGCATTGTTCCTGCTGTAATGTCCCCTGCCTCACCTCTGCATTTGCCAGAATAGCCTGCCTCTGTTGTAGAATGTAGAAACCAGTGATTTTACCAGAATGCTCTCCACTAACTTTCCTAACTGGATTATAAGATAAAAACCATAATTATGGGTACTAGAACTCTACAATGTAAGTTCAATAAAACAATTTCTGTTTTTTTATTTTCCTTGAAAGCGTCCGGCCTTCCAAAACCCAAAGAACATTTATCACCCTGAACTTCTGCAGTGGAATTCCTGGCTCCAGTGAAGTCAATAGCAAAACTCCCATTGATTTCCACAGCACCAGGATTTCATCTCCAATTTTAGTTTCATGGTTCAAGAATTCCTTATCCCATCCATTTCAAATCTAGTGGAAAAATTATTTGGATATAGGCTGACCTATCAGTTTCCAAGCCAATATACAGTATATTTTTGTAGTGCTAAACAGGGAGGCCAACATCCAGTTGATAATTTAAATTCAGTTGCAGCCTTCACCATGGATCAGCTAATATTTCCCTATTATTTCACGTAGAAAGAAGAGGATTTAAGAAACATGCCACAAAGATACTTCAGACCAGGGGTCAGCAACGTTTTCAAACCAAAGAGCCAAACCATATCAAAATTCAGAACAAGTAGTCAATAAAGAGCCATATAAGAAAGCTCATTGCATGACTGAAAATATACATCATAATATTATTGATAATTGACATAATGATTAATAATAGCATAAATAAAAAATTGTACTCAGACTTTATTTAATGCGACTTTTACTGCTGGATCTTTTTGCATGTTTCTTTACAGTTTATATCATAACTGGTCAAATCCAACTTCATTCATGTAATCAGGCTATCTTCTGTCAGTCTTATGGCAGGGGACTGGGTTGTGGTGTACGAGGGACTCAGGGCAGGAGATTGGGTGTATGATGGACTCGTCTCAAGGTTGAGGTGTGTGGAGGTGCTGGAGTGTTGTGGCAGGGGACTAGTGATGTGGGGGTGCAGGAGTCCAGGGATGTGGGGATGAGGGGGTTCAGGTACATGATGGACTCAGAATTGGGGTATGCAGGGATGCAGGAGTGTTATGATGCTGCAGCCACATGGGGGTTGGGCCCCAATTGGGGGCTTCTTGGCCAGGCTTAATTTATTTTTAAATAAAGTAAAATATTATGTCCACCACAAAAGGTTTCAACATTGTCTTGATTTATGACAGGAGCGGGGAACCTTTTTTGGGTTGGGGGCCACTGACCCACAGAAAAATCTGTAGGGAACCACAAAAGTGAGGAGAAAAAAATCTCCAAAAACCTCCAACCCTCACTTATGTGACCCCCACCTTGAAACACCTCTCTCCCCTGGTGCTCCAGCCACATAGTGGGGTGAGGGGCAGGGAGGACTGAGGTTCAAGGCCTCAGGCCAGTTTTACTCTTTTGGGGGCTCCAGGGTTAGTGGATTTTGTGGGGCCCCTTAGGCTCTGGGCTGGGGAAAAAATGAGGAGTTAAGTGTGTGGGGCAGAGCTGCCAGTGAATTGGGATCAGGGTGGGAGGAAATGAGTGTGTGAGGTCTGGACAAGGAGCAGGCTGCCTGGCCAGAGGGCTATTTTGGCAAGAGGGCTGGGTCAGGGGCAATTCTGGCCAGGGGACAGAGGGTGTCTGGCCAGGAGGCTGAGGGTAGGGGGAAATTCTGGCCAGGGGGCTGGAGACAAGGAGGATTTGGGGCAGGGAGTTGCCTGGCTGGAGAGGTGAGTGAGGGGATGGGGGAGTCTGGGCATGGGGGAGTCTGTTTGCATGCCAAGTGGCAGGCACCATGTAACATACCTGCTGCTCTCATTACTCAGAAGCATCCAGTGGAGGGAAGAAGGGGGCTTGAGCATTGGCCTGCTAAACCCAGGGTTGAGAGTTCAATCCTTGAGGGGGCCATTTAGGGATCTGGGGAAAATCTGTCAGGGATGGTACTTGGTCTTACTGTGAGGGCAGGGGACTGGACTCAATGATCTTTTAAGGTCCCTTCAAGTTCTATGAGAGAGGTATATCTCCATATATTACGTGTTTCCCGGACGGAGAAAAGAGCAATGCTCATGGAGCCATTTTGGCTGCTTGTTTCCTGCATGCAGAGGGAAGGAAAAGAACAGCTCAGTGAGGCATTTTTTGCTCCACTTGTTTCCCAGCGTGGAGCCTCTGGGCTTTCTCGTCCCCACCCTCCTCCTCCTCCCTGAAGCTGGTGCTGATGCTCCAGTCTTTGGGGGGGGGGGTAGGAAGGGAGGGAAGGTTCTAGCACCAGCGTGGCTCCCTACTGCGGGAACAAGGGGGCCTGAGTTGGGGCTCCAGAAGAGGCATATCTGGCTCGGGACTCATAGATTGCCAACCCCTGCTTCTGAGGAATTCTACCCCTTGTATTATGTGGCAATCCTTCAGTGGTAAATACCTCGCAGCTAAAGTCATGTCTGTGCTGACAGGCTCTTTAGTACATTTCAGTTACATAAGCCTCTGTCCACTGTGCATATTATATCTGAAACACCAATAATCTCTTTGTTAAAGGTGTTGTGCTGGGTAGCAAATGCCTCTTAGCAGAAGAGATTTAACAGTGAAATGTAATTGCTTTATGAATAAACTCCATTTCGTTATGTAACTTCTGTTTTCAATGCAGGATTAATGGGATATTGTTTTGCTCTGAAAGAAGTAACCATTCTTTTTTTACAAAAGGAAGGGAATAGTCTGAGAACAATAAACTGTAATCATGCCAAATGAATAGTTGTTCAGGGGATGGTCAGAAACTTTCAGTTCTTACTCGTAAGGGCTACGTCTAAACTACACCACTCTTGCACAAAAGCATATGCAAATGAAGTGCAAATATGCAAATTAACATATTACCAGACTTCGTTTGCATAATTAATTAGGATTCGCTTTTACGCAAGAGGCTTTTGCACAAAAAGGAGCTGTATAGATTACTCCTTTTTGCGCAAGAGGGGGGTTAGAGTGCTACAGAAATGACCTCACTGTCCATCTAGAAAATAGCCTCTCTCCTCCCATGTAGGGATGTTAAATTTTGAGTAACTGACTAATCGAACAGTCGATGCAATTTGTCCTAGGTCTGTTGCTACACTTCAAAGGCAAAAGTGCTACAGGGAGCACAGATCCCCCACTGGCCCTGTGTGCCCCAAGGCATTTCAAAGTGGCAGCGCCCCATGGAGCCCGGGATCAACTTGGGACTTCCTGTTGATCCCGGGCGCTGCTGCTTTGAAACACCGGCGGGAACCTGGGGACACCCCAGCTGGCCCCGGGCTGCACGCGGCATTTCAAAGTGGCAACACCTCATGGAGCCTGGGGTCTCCGTCTTCTCCCCCCCACCTTGCTGCCTCTTTCTGATAGAGGCAGCCAGGGTGGGGGGGGGACTAGTCGACTCGACTACCTGATTATTTTTTTTTTTTTTTTTTTGCTTATCAGTTAGATGATTAGTTGTTCACATCCCAGCCTCCACCAACTTGAGGAAACCAGGTTTCCAAACAATAAATAAACATTTCTGTCTTTCAAACACTGTTGCCTTCAATAACGAACAAGAACTGTAGTAATGTGATATAAGCTGCCATGCTGCAAACTCCCAGTGCAGCAGTGAGTGTCCAGAAGTTGTTTCAAATGAAGATACATAGGTTCCAAATAGATTGCTCTTATTCATTAACAAGCAAGACGTTTGACTCTAAAGGTCATGAATGAGTTGAATAAACATGTTTGCTAATGGATGTGGATGGAGCAAATTTAAAAAATTAGAAGTTTAACTCACTTGACTCCATAAGCAAATATTGTAAGTCCCATTAAAATTCCTATACTGCCGTCCAGGTACCAGACAGAAGCATTGTGCTTAAAAACTTCTGCACTTAACAGGATGGAAAATCCCATCACTCCACCTACAAGAGAGTTGAATCCTGGAAAAGAAAAAATAACCTATTCAAATGAAGAGAAGCATTCAGTCTTAACATCAGCTCTCATCATCTCAGCTATGAAGAGTCTGAGACACCAAAAGCCATTACACTACACACAGTAGCATAGAGGGTGGAGAGTTTCTGCTACTATAGAACAGAAGCCATATAATATAGTGCTGTGCAGGGAAAGAAGGCTCCGGTGTCTAGCACATGCTTAGCCGCAGCTGAATTTGAATGTTCAGTGCCCCCCTTTATGTCTAAGGACCTACATCTGCTTTTCATTTCTGGCAGGAATGAGGCTGTGTCCATCTTTTGTCATTGTCTTTCTTATTCATTCGTTAGCCACAGCTTTTTCATTACCCTTTTAGTTTTTATTCTGCATCCTGTTCATTGAGGCTGTCTCTCCACTACAAAGAAAAGTCGGAAAAAGATACACAAAATGCGAACTGCAATCTGAGTATCTTTTTCAGCTTTTCTTCCAAAAGAGGCTTTTCCAACATTTGGCATGTCTACAAGGGGCCAAATGTCAGAAAAAAACCCTCTCTCAGACCACCCCTTCTTCCTCATGAAATGAGGTTTACAGGGATGCCAAAGAAATGCACCTGCTTTTCTGAATATTTTTTTTGGAAAAACAGACGCATTCTTTGGACATGGCAGTGCTCTTCCGGGATATCTCCGCTATCCCGGAAGAGTTATGTAGTCTAGACCTACTCTGAGTCTCTGCCCTTGAGTAGTTTTGCCACTTTCAGAGTATCTGTCAAAGGGCCATTCTATCTGAAAACTAACCCCTTTTTTTAAAAAAAGGCTCCCTTATGGTTCTATATAATTATTGTTTTCTCATCAATGTCCTGATTACTACTTGGAAGACGAAGACACTCACACTCTTCTTTATTTCAGGACTTGCAAACTCAATGTTTCAGGCCTGCATCTGTCTATTGTTCATAATACCATAAATAAAGATTATGCAGGCCAAATAATACTTTCTGAGCAGGCCTTTCTGATGTCCAGAGATGTCCTTAGAAACACAAGTACAACCTCACTGCATTCAATGAGTATGTACCTGTGTTAACTAGTTAAACAATAATGAAACTCCAGCTCCTTTTCTTATAGTGTATGCTGTATTTGTCACTTGTAGGAAGCAGAGTCGCTGAATACACACAAGGAGCAGCTGTGATGAGTGTGGAGATGCCATTTTTGCATACTTTCAGAGAAAGTATAGGATTTTTTTTTCTTTTGGACCATGTATCCTGCTTTGAGGTATGGCGGAGCTTTAGCTTATAGATGAATATGCTATTGTAGGTGATAGCAAGCAAGGCTGCTCCCCAATATGCATCAAAAGGCCTGCTTGCCTATCACACCCACTCAGCTGCTTGCAGGCTTGGTAATGTTCTTTTCAACCTAAATTATTTACTTTTTTTAAAACCTATCAGGTTGGCCTTCACTATCACTCGAGATCCTGCTTTTTAAAAAGAAAAAAATACTTCCTCTTACATTTTCCTTCCAAGCTAACACTTCATGCTTCACCCTTTCACAGTCCGTGGCTTTTCCTCTGCTGAAAAGTGGCCTTCCACCACCAAAGGCTACCTTGGCACTCTGTAATTTCCCACTGGTGTTAACAAGGATGTAGCTGCATTGGTGGTGGGAGTGTCCGTCGAGATAAGACGGTGATATCTGCTAGCATTTTTTATACCATTCATGTAGCTCCGCTTGGAGCAAGGTTACGAGTTATGTTGCTTTAAATGCTCTAGTATTAGGAGCAGTGGGAAGTGGTTGGCTGCGGCTGCAAGTGCTTAGCCTCATCTCTACCTCTTTTACTGCACTAACTACTATGGCACCTGGGTGCCACAGACCATAGCATCTTAATATTTCCAGTCTGTGGTACTCATATGGTCCCCATCTGACTGCCTCTGAATCTTTATGTATTGATCCTCATTGCACCTGTGAGATAGGGAAGAATTATTGTCTCTATTTTACAAATGAGGACCCTGATCTTCAAAGGTTTTTGAGTGCTTCACTCTGAGCCTGAGAGACCAAGGGCATCTCTGCAATGCAATAAAATAAGCCACAGCACAAAGGCTGAGCCTGGGTCATCTGGCTTGGATTTGGCTGTGGGATTAAAACTGCCAGTGTAAAGGTTTAGGCATGGCTGGAGAAATACATGGAGAAGGTAGTTCCTTCTCTGCACAAGAGAGGAGTAATGATCCAGGGGCAGAATCCAAGGAACTGAAGATATAAATAACTGAAAGAGGAGCCCTTCAACAGAGTAAAGAAAACACATAACATAGACAGGGATTTCGGTTGCCTCCACTGCTTATAGCGTGATTCTTTATATTACAGACAGTTGAGTACTTTCTGAAGTACTGTCAGTATTTAATGAAGTGACTCTTCTCAGTCTTAAGAACTTTGAAGTGTCCAATGACTGGCTGCCAGATCATGAAGGGTGAAGCACATTACTAGTTCACAACCTCCTCCTACTAATACCTCAGCCATATGAAAAGTCAGGCCTTGAGCAAATCAGCTTGTTAAACTTGTTGAGAAATTGATTTTTTTTCCATTTAAACCTGTAAACACAAAAGCTTGCCATGTGAATGAAATCTCTTTAGATCAGAATAAAGGTACTTATTGTGGCGAGTTAATCTGACAAACCTCATGTGGATTCTTTTTTGATAGTGGCATCTGGCTAGAGATATATGAAGCTACCTTTGTGATGACTGTATTTGGGGATTTGTATGACTGACTGTGAGCCATTTGCAGTATTTCAGTGTGCCTGTTGTGCTAGCATAATCACTGGAACAGGAGGGTATGATGGACGCGCCCCCACATGGTCCCCTAAGTAAGTGTACTCCAGCAGGAGGAGGAAGGCTGGGCCTCACATCTTGGGGTAGGAGGTAATCAACCCCAGCCTTCCCCCCAGCCTGTCGGAGCACGCTTACTTGGAGAATCATGGAGGGGGAGTGACTGCACCCTTGTGGTCCACATTTACCCCAAGAAAAAGCACCCCCCCCCACAACCCACAAACACAGAAATTCTTGTGCATGGGCCTGTGGATGGATATCTTTTCTTAATGATAAACCAAACTGAGAGTCAGGCCAGGCTTGCCACATATCCAGTGTGTGGATCTGATTCATGTAGGGTTCTCCACATCCTCAGAACACCCCAAATCATCACAGTTTAGAATCAAAGGAAACTTCCACTGCAGAACTGGCTCAACTCTCATAGATACAGGTAATGAAAAAGTCCATTCTATCACCAGTAGTCTGGAGCACTCTACCAACTGGTTGCTCAAGCCAGAAAGCAATGCCTTGGGTCACTCTTGACAGAAATCGTTGACATGTTCCTCAGATGAGTCCTTTTCCTAACCTTCTGAAAGACTGACCGGCTGATCTCAATGGGAACAACCAGTATTTCTCACCAATGACTTTAACTGCCAGTCAGTCTCAAACACGCCTTTCTGGGTGAGATTATTGTGATGATGGGAGCAGAAGCACCAGATCACCATTTACCTGGAAGACAATTCTCATTTGAGCTTTGGGCCACAGTACAGAAATGGTGCCAACCACACTTGCTACCAGCACCAAAATAAAAATTGGTGAGGTCTAAGGAGAACCAGAAAGGAACAGACACACACAAGCTAAAGGAAGACAAGTTTTTGAAAATCCCTTCTTACTGCCTGTAGCAAGAGGAAGCAAACAGCAGAGTTGGACAGAAATAAAAAAAGATGTGACACATAATGTGTCTGATTAACCATTGGCTGGGCAAAGGAGGATGGGGCTAGTTGGCTGCAGTGTGCCTATTCGTACCTACTTTAAGGTAAGGCAGAGCTTTTCAAAAGCCTCTCAAGGTACAGCTATATTGCAGTAAAAGACCTGCTGCATGGGTAAAGTGACTCAGGCTCAGAATGCAGGACTGAACTTGTAATATGGATGTTTTGGACTCTGGCTGGTGCTCCAGCTCTCAAACCCCATATAGGGGCATCATCCCAGCATTCAGGTTGCAGCTTAACCCCAAACATTTAAACTGCAGTTGACCCTCTGCATGGGTTTTTTCATTGTGGGGTAAATGTATCTTTGCTCTTTGAAAAACTTAAACAGCAAATACTTTTTCAGCACCTTAGAGACTAACAAAAATGTAGATGGTACCATGAGCTTAGGTGGGCACAACACATCTCTTCGGATGATGGAGTTTAAGTGGTCAGTCCAGTTTTCCCCCCTCATTCCCAATCTGCTATTTATTTGAAGAGGAGAAAAAAAGGGGGAAAGAACTTGTCAATTAGGGTACATCTAGACTACATGGCTCCGTAGACGGAGCCATGTAGATTTGTTTGTTTGGCAAAGGGAAATGAAGCCGCGATTTAAATAATCGCAGCTTCATTTAAATTTAAATGGCTGCCACGCTGAGCCAACAAACAGCTGATCAGCTGTTTTTCGGCTCAGCGTGCTACCCTGGATGCTCCCCTGTCGACATGAAAGCGCTTTATCGACCTCCCCGGTAAACCTCATACTACGAGGCATAAGGGGGAGGTCGATAAAGGGCTTTCAGGTCAGCGCAGGAGCATCTAGACTAGCGCGCTGAGCCGACAAACAGCTGATCAGCTGTTTGTTGGCTCAAAGCGCAGCAGCCATTTAAATTTAAATGAAGCTGCGATTATTTTGCAGCTTCATTTCCCTTTGCTGATCAGCCTAATCTACATGGCTCCATCAATGGAGCCATGTAGTTTAGACACACCCTTAGTGTCCATGCTACATGAAGCTGATAAGGATACTTAGTACCCACTTTAAGTACCCTTTGTTTGGTTTTTTTATGTGGAATGTAGCAGGCCATCTAGCCAACATCTTTTTTTAGATTTCTGTTGTAGGAAACAAGCTTGTAAAGGAAATTAAGTTCTGTAGACTCCCTGTTGAGCTGGCTTTGGAAATTGGTTTGAAATAAAACAGTGACTGAGATCCATTAGTGAGTGCCCAGGCAAGTTAAAATGTTCTCCAACAGGTTTCTGTGTTGCCTTT